ACGTTCATTGTCCGGCTTTGCTAAAAAAAAAAAAAAAAAAAAAAAAAAGTAGAATCCCTACCTACCGACCCTAATTTTTTCTGGACTGTAATAGGAAACACAACATTTATTTTGTTAGGCCTAATCAAAAATATGTACACTTAGAGCTTAGTACCGGTTCTGTACTGGAAAAACTGATTACATTTAGGTATAGGTTCATTTCCTCAGTACCTGAGTACTGTACCTAAATAATTTCACACTAATTACTGTATGCCTATATGTGACCTAAAATATAGCTCAGGTCCCCCATGGGTCCCAAAGTAAGGACAGGGTGTTTATGTTACACTTACACGCTGACAGTAAGTACTCTGAAAGATTTGTTGCATATTAGTTATGCTCCCTTATAATAGATGTCACTTTGGTCAGGTTTGTGTTGCAGGGTAGGAGATGATAGCTGAAACATCTTAGTTTTGCTCATGTTTTGTATAAGAATTCTGTCATTATGGAAGGAATTCAAAAGAACATGTTAATTTGTTGAATTGTTCAGGTACATTTTCAGGTCCGGACCTGTACCTAAACCCATGTACCTGTACCTGTACCTAAAATTTGGCACACAGCTCTAGCATGCATCATCTCTTTTCCTTGAGTCCTAACAGTCTACTAAAATATATACCAATACTGTATAGTGTATACCTACATGTATGCAAACCTGAAGACAATAATTGACTATGGCTGACAATATTCAACTATAGGAGTTTTGGGACAAGTATGTGAAACATGAGAAAGCTGTCATCCTGAGAGGTGCAGCCAAAAACAGTCCTGCCTTTACATTATGGACAGATGAGTACCTGAGGGACAACTACGGAAAACTAGAGGTAAAGAAGAAATATGGAAGTCTAACACTTTGCTTATTTCCACTGAACAATAGTGTTACATGTAAGCTTTGCACATCTATACTGTATAACCTACAGTTGTTTAAAACTATATATCTAGTGATGATCCCTTACTGCTCTTGGTGGCAGCTAGCTCCACTGTATTGTCATATTTCTAAGGAAAATTAAGTTTTTGAACACCTGAAACTTAGTTGGTAATCTAGCTTGTACTTGAAGGCATGACCATTAACATTCCATTATGTTTTTTTTTTCCAAAAGATTCGTCTAGAGGGCAAAAGAGAAAAACACAGCTGGCTTCCGATTGGAGTAAAGGGGATAGGACGAGACACCTTTGAACACTTCCTGGACACCTATCACGACAGTGACGCGTACGTCGTGTCACAGTTACCCACCGACATGTACCATGAAGTCCTGGTACAGCCATGTCTCACCTGTGGCTCCTTCCGTGAGAGTCTTGTGGAGGTAAGGGTTCTGTAAGGTTTTACAAATTTACAACTATTATGCGTATATGACCAGTGCAAGTTGGCCAAGTGAGTTGTGAGTTCGATCCCCGGACGAGTCATACCAAAAACGGCCGGTACATACTGCTTTACTATTTTACAAAGGCAATGCTGTTATGATGGACACTTAAAAGACAATGTATGTTTCCTGGTTTAACTTGTAGATTGATCTGTGGATGAGCTCTAACGGTGGCAGCAGTATTCTCCACAAAGATGCCTTCAACGCCATGAACTGTCTGTACAACGGCACCAAACACTGGAAACTGATCGAGCGCAAGTACGAACCTCTCATACACAAGGCAAGTCACGTTACATTTTAGTTCCTAGAAGCTCAAGCAACTGGATAGATTTTGAAAAAACAGATATTTCAAGAAGCATCCTCCACCTTTTGTTAGTGACTATTTTCTAGTTGCTTGAGTAATGTAGATACACAGACAAAAAAAAAACAACACCTCTATATAATCATAGCTTGAAGTTGGTTCTGAGAAACTTCATAATATTTCATGCACTGAGTCAAACCTGCTGAAGTGACCACCTCCTCAAGCCAACCACCATTTCCCTAGCTGTATTGATTTTTTTTCCATAGGCGCAACTTGCATTAAGCGATCTGCTCAAGAAGGCCACCTGTCCAGGAAGACCACTTTACCTCGGTCCCTGAATTCATGGGAAGGATTTTTCTCTGTTTGATAATTATAATATTGTCTGTTCTTTAGCACTGGGAGCCATCACGGGAGATTGGTGGGTTCTCAGACGTTAATGTGCACGAGGTTGATCTACTGAAGCACCCCAACATCGCCAAAGTGCGCTGGTCCAACTTTACCATTCATGCAGGGGACTGTCTGTACCTACCCAAGAGTAAGTGTTTCCCACTTTTAAGGAAGATTTGATCACACTTAAACTGTTCAGAAACAATTGCCATTATTTCTTATAGTTTTACACCTCACAGGTGACTGTCAATGCTGCAAATACACCTAGAATTTGTTACACAGCACCAGTATTTAAGGACTGGTGCAGGTTAGGTAGACATCAGAAATACCTGCACAGCTCCAATTTTACCTGCACAAACCTGCATATGCTGGTGGTATTTTGATCTCTGCATAGTCTCAAACCAAGCCTCTGTGTGTGCTCCAGGTTACTGGCACCAGGTGGAGTCAGTAGGGGATAAGAACGTCGCCGTGGCTATCCTGTTTGCCAGGCTAGAGGAGTTTGATGACTCTGACTGTGACACACAGAAGGTGGAGTACACACCCCTTAGTGACATCGAGGTTTGTTTATTTTGCTTGATGTTTACATTTTCTGTTAGAGTATCATACACGTATTCTTGCTTTCCAGTTTATTATGTCATATACAATTGTAGTACGTCTGGCTAGGTCTTATTTTGTAGCTCTCACACATGACTGACATATTATTATGATAGTACCGGTAGTAGGATTCTATAATTGTTTTCTGTACTAAAATATTTTAACCCTTAATCTGCTGAAGTATCCTTAGTGCTCATTCAGTTAAGTATTACTTTGTAGAACATCCAATCAAAATAATTTCTCCTTTACATTTAGTGCTTTATAGTACATTTTATTGTAATTTATTGACTTTTTTAATGATTATCGTTACCCACACACTGTTTACTAGGTGATGTGGAATTGGCCAGGGTTTGGGATGATGACCATGGGGTACAATGATTTGGAGTTGTCAATGAGGGACCAACTGTATGAAATGGTGGAACATACTGGAGGAAAAATGACCAAGGATCTCATCTTTCAACTACTCAAGATGGTAAGTGTATGTTTGATAATACGTACTAATAATCTTCTCTGTGTATTTCACTTGCACTAGGTGATGTGGAATTGGTCAGGGTTTGGAAATATGACCATGGGACATATGGATTTGGAGATGGGAACCAGGGCACAACTGTCTGAACTGGTGGAACAAGGTGGTGGAAAACTCACCCAAGGTTTCATTTTAGAACTGCTCAAGTTGGTAAGTGTTAAGGTTCACTAACTTGGCCATCTACTTTCCAATGTCCACTACTTTTAGGCCATTATTTCACTCCTCCTCTTAGGTTTTTTTATTTAGTGTTGAAGTAACCCTTAGGCCGTAGGTGATCAATTTTGATATAGATGTCTGTACTGCATTGTACAGTCTGGTGTGTTTTTGTACCTGTCCAGAAAAATCTAGTATTTCAAACAAGACTTAATTTTGTGTCATGGCCACTGCTCAGGTATAACAATTTTTTTAAACTGACTTTTTGAAGAGGAATTACAACCTGTATTCTTGTACATTATATTTGCAGGAGATGCCTGAATATGATGACGAATTTCATATGGAGAAGGCAGAAAAGGTGAGTGGTGAGAAAAGTTACAAACAAACAAAAAAGAGAAGAAGGAATCCAGTGTTTGAATTGAAAATCATTGAATTAAATGTTTGTCAACATCATTTTGTAATTATCATAAAACATTGTAATAGGATGCACTAATGAATATACCATAACTGACATGTAATTTTCATGTTCTGAAATATTTTCACAGAGTTTCAAGGCTATAGATGTCAACTCTAAAGGCTACCTTACTGAGGAAGATATTGAAGCCTTGGACTGGGATGCACTCAGGGCCTTCACACTGGAGTTTGAAAACCAGGAGCCTTCCAACACAGAGCTGTTTGAGTACTCCTACACAGTCCCCGATGAGATCCAGTAAGTTTGGGGCATTTTACTGTCAGATAGATAAAACATCTTGGCCGATAAGTAGAAAATATAAGTAGAAAATATATTATGTAAAAAAACTGTGAGTTACTCAAGCAACTGGATATGTTTTTGTAATTACACTGTATGCACTAAATGAACTAGTTCATGCTTATAAACCTGCAATTCTCCTGCAGTCTCTTAGTGTCATTGATGGAAAGGTAGCGCATGCTACCTGAAATGTCTGACCGTTTCCAAAGTCATGCTTGAGTAACTGTTTTCTGGCGTATCTCATTACCTGGATGTCTAACCTTCATCAACGTACATGTGCAAAATATAATTTCCCATTAATTAACAAGTGCATGAAGAATCCTGTCCGTAGTAACAACATTCCCACAGATTAGAAGTTATTGGCCTCCCTGAGTCGTCTTCTTAGGCTGAGTTTTGACTTAATTTCTTTTATGTTGACTTTACCTTTGTAGGTATACTATTGAGTACCTGGCTAAGAAGAATGGCCAGTTGACTAGGGCTGACTTTGTTCATGCCTACATGACCAGACTTGGAGGGACTGAAAAGTTTGCAACTGAGGTGAGTGCGATTATCTAACTACAGCCTTTTTTAACCAGGAAGGTTTTCTTGAAATTTGAAGGGTAAGAAAAAATAATAAAACCATTTAAGATTCTTAAGTTCATATAGAATTTCATACTCTTAAATTCTGCAGATAAGATTTTATATAATTGTTTGCAGACATGATGGCTACTTTATCTGTTTTTGTGCACCCACTTTTTTTTCCCAAAAATTCTGTGCACCTACATTTTTGGGATAGGTGCCATCAAAAATAAGATTCTACTTTGTCTGTTATTGTTCACCTAAAATTTTTACAGTGCACTAAGTATATAACATTAATAACATAGTGTTAGATACCATGAAAAACGAAATTCTCCTACATGTGATACATATTTATTGTATCCTCAAACTATTTTGTGCACATGAATTTTGGGTCAGGTGCCAACAAAAACTTAAGTCTGTACGTATACCATCCTGGTTAGTTTACGTCCACTCCCACAGTTCACTGGTTAGTGGTAGCGACTTTGGGAGCTGAAACTAACCAGGATGGTACCCAGGCTAAACAAAAATATGTTTAAGACCAGGTAAATGTGTAAGCTGTCCTGACACCTGTCCATCACACTTTGCCACTGTACTGACATCTCTCCATCACTTTTTTCCGTCTGTGTGCAGATTTTTGACCGGCTGGTTGAGGACCTTGATGGAGATGTGGTCCAGGCTGGGGACCTGACACACGAGAGGATGGAGTACGCCCTGGAAAACTGGCTCATCCGGATCAAACCGGAGATGACTCCCGAGATGGACCAGGAATATGAAGAAAGGATGAAGGAGTTTGAACAATATGTTGACGTACATAAACTTGGTGGTGATAGTAAAGATCATACTGAGCTTTAGGTTCAATGCTTGCCAGCTGGTACTATATAACACATATAGTTGTTGGGTTGTCATCTGAAACAACTGTGTTATACCAAACAGAACCTGATGATGGTAGAACAAATTCAATATTTTTAAGAATTGGGAACTTGTAACTGATCATGGTGAATGTTTTTTCTAACACAAAATGATGTGCACTCAGCAAGTTTTTTGACAGAACCTTATTTTTCATTCCTGAATGGACATTATTTTGAGTTGGTAAAAGTCTCACAATAAAACTCATTATCATCATAGTATATGATATTGTAATAGGACCAAGTCAACTTTTCAAGGAGCTGCAAACATATTATATTTAGGCTTTTTCTGGGTGTACATTTATTTGGGAGGTGAAGTGTATAAAATAGCACATGTATATGATACTTAGAGGTGATTTTTTCCTGATTTTTTTATGTTGCCGATTGGAAACTTGAGATGAACAATTATCTACATTTTATGCATTGTCGTTACAAGACATGTATGTCTTTAATACAAGGTACATGATCAATCACTGTGCAATAGTGTGAAAGCTGCTGCTATATTATATTGCTACAAATGTAGTTTGAAAGATCATGCTGTTCTTTGGATTTTTGATGATGCAACAAAATGATATTGTGTGCAGAGCAAGCATTTGATAGTGTAGTCTAATCACATTTTACATGTATGCAACACAGGTATCAGAGTCTCAAGTTGAGCATTGGTCTCTATAATTTTACATCTTATGGACTAATCAGTTTTGATCGAGGGTGTGACAGTGGGAATTTTGGTAAGGTGTACTCGCAAGTTCTGTTGGAGATTATAATATTTGCTGCTTTTTAAAAATCTTTTCAAGAGAGCATATATTTCTGTAAACCCCCAGGTGTGAAGTATCAAAACTCAGTCATGAGCATCAGCACATTTAACATTAGACGTCTTCGGAAAAAAGTTGTTATATGATCAACAAGAGATAATCACTGTTTCTACTAGCTAGTACTACAGGACCTGGTATGTCTATGATGATTAAAGATTTATATTTTGGTGAAAATAATTAAAATTTTGTGAATTTTACCTAACATAGGTGAATGGAATAAAAGGCCTGATTGCGAACTGAGTTGTGTTTTCCTTTTTTACCATCAACATATCAGAAATACAAATGTTATGTTACTGTTAACGTTAGTACCTTAAACGCTATATTAATACCTGTATATTAGTATCATTACCTGGCTCCAGATTTCTTCTTCCTATAACCTATATTTGCTTCTTCGGTCTCAGCACAAATAGTAGTATGTGATCAACACTTACAATATACATTATATACTATCGATATGCAAAATTGTAGAAAGAAATGGGATATCCCACCCCCAGTCATAATAGTATGGTCCATTTCGAAGAAAGTTATACAGACGATACCATTTTTGGACCCCATTAAGACACGATATTTAATGGTAGCGTCTTATACAAGTATTTTATATTATTCTACAATTTAGGAAGAAACTGATATCAGCCAGTATATTATTCAAATACTACCACTTAAGCTTAATGTGTTGACTTGTTCATAGAATCATAGTATCAAAACATCTGTTCTTCCTTCCCTATAATGTAATCGCCCAGTTCGCGGCAAAATCAAACCTGACTGACAACCAAGATGGAGGACGGAGGCGGACGGGGAAGAGAGGTGAGTAAATATTTGGCGGGAAAACAACATAAACTCGGCAGATTAAGACTTTTCTGTTGCCTAATTATGATATTTATGTCACAATGACGATATTCTGACCGGAACATGTGGGATTTGTCGGTTGGAAATGGAATTTTTGGTCAACAGATCTGGCGGGGCGACCGTACGGTATGGCTAGCTGTCAGATCTGCCACGATTTTCACGAGTTTCAGGCTCGATCTAAAGTTTTGTTTGCACATCATGACCCTATGAAGAGAGAGTTCAAACTTTATTCGTCGCGAAACGGTTTAAGCGTACGATGAGTAGAATAGAAAGCTACAGAAGTTCTTGTGGCTGATGGAAAACATTTTTTTGAGCCCGCCTGTTTTTGTGCGCCATGGGGCGTCCCAAGGGAGGATCGACTGTTCGCGGGAACGTGCCATTATTTTTATCAGAAGTATTTTACAGATCTCTACTACGTGAACTGTAGGTGTTTCAAGGAACTACCACGCTAGAAGAATAAAAGGGTGAAAAGTTAGTCGAAAAATCTTTTTATAAAAGCTACAAAACACTACAACAATCTTTTAGTTTATCAAATAATTACCACCGTGGCACGTATTCCAACTAATAATTTTTCGGAATTTTTCAACCATTATCCTATTTCAATCATCCTGACACCTCCCACAATCTTACTGTACACATTGCAAATGAGTTATCTAGTTCTTTCTCAACAAACTTTGTTATGAAGCTGTAACCTATAAAAGTTTGGAAGAAATAATTTCATAAACTTTTCTCACGCAGAAGTCCAACAAACGACCACATTCCCCTGACGATGATGATGTTGTGCTTGTGTCCTTCAAGAAAGAGGTATGGATAAATGAGATGTTTCTTTCATTAGTATAACAGCATGGTTAAGTTTCAGTAATACTTGAATAATACATGTATTGATTATAATGTTGATGTAAGTTTCCAGCTTGGATATATTTTCTCTCTCCTTTTTCTTACACAGAAGAAAAACCCTGAACCATTGACAGGATCAGGCACTGAGGATGATGTTGTCATTGTGGAAGAAACACAAGAAGGTGAAAATATTATTACAGAAATGCATATCTTTGGGAGATGCAAGTTGGCCCCCTCTACCCCACACATATGAATCTTACGATACATATACCATCTTGTCCAGAGCATTTGGAAGAAGTGAGCTAAAACTGGATCAAGTTATGCACATGTACATGTACAAGAAGGTTCTTTTTTCAAGAAAAACGTCTGATGTTTTGGTGGCTACAGTAATCTATCTGTCACTTTCTTCAGGGAAAAATTGACAACATTGGTTCTGATTTGCAACTGCAGCTACAATGTAGGTGTCACAAATTGATTTGACACTGTAGTTTTGGTGTCAGACGGTCACCAAAAGGTCAGATGTATAAACCCCATATGGGGTTCGGCAAAGTACAAAATAATGTACAGTAGATAGAATAAAGAACCTTTTTATACAGCAGTTGCTAACCTGACAAAATTATGTGTGGATCAAGCTATACATACACGTGTAACTGATTTTATTTCTCTTTTTCATCCACAGGAACATCAGCCAATGATGGTAATCCTCTTGGCAAGGAAGACTTTGTAGTGACCTACTTTAAGCCTTCTGACACCATCAAGTATCCACATGCTCGAGAAGACTGCATGGTTCACAAGTTCCAGTAAGTGTTAAGAAAAATCACCAGGTTGCAAATTTCAAAGTCTGCAGACTGCTTGAGTGTTTGAAATGTAGTAACAAATTGTACTTAAAAAACAAAGAACCATGTAGTTGATCAAATTAATGTTGGACATGTCGATCATTATGCTGAAATTTTGTAAGTTTTAAAACTCATCATTCGTACTATGGCTATATTTTAGGTAATGAGTAAAGTTTCATGATGGATGTTTCATGAAAATGTCTTGAGTATCCATTCCTTGTTTTTCAGAAGTGGAACAAGCGTCTCCAATGCTACTTTCTGTGACAGTTGCTACTGTTATGTTTGTGATATTCCAGCCAAAGAGGTAGGGAATAGTACACTCATTGTTTTTTTTGGCAATATTGGATGTAAACTCTGTCTCATTAATTACTCATGTCAGCCTCTGGAAGGTCACATATTTTTCTTCTAAAGAATTCCAGAGAACTAGTTGAGAGTCTTATCTTTCTGAATGGGAAATCAGTTGAATTACTTTATGTTATACATTAAGCTTCCACCTTTGGAAAAAAAATCTCTTGAAGAAGTGACCACTTGGGCTGGTTTGACTGTATATCAAAAGAGACAAACTTTCCTGCTGACAGAATTTATTTCTTTCTCTAGTGCCAACAGTGGACACAAGACAAACACTGCAATGCCTACAGCAAAGACAACAGTTGGAAGTTGAAAAGAAATAAGACCATAGCAGCCAACTCCAGGGAGAAGGCTAGAAGGGCCTTTGCCTCACATCCCAGTCTTAGGTCTTGCTTATCACAGGAGGAGAGGGAGGGTGAGGGCATGTCTTCTATCCATGGTATGTCTTAAACATTTTGTGCTTTGTTGTTCTGTCTATAATGCCTTGGGGTCGTGCCGTGGGGTCGTGTGGCGCAGTCGGTAGCGCGTTCGGCTCACCCCAGAGGTTGCGGGTTCGAACCCCACCATGTCACCGATCTTGTCCTTTGGGAAAGGCACTTTACACGACTTTCCTCACTTCACTCAGGTGTAAATGAGTACCTATGGCCGCTCACGGTTATGGGCCTTACATACTATTATGCCTTAACGTATTCTGTTCAAAATACTAAATGATGCACAACAATGTGATTTTGATAATTGATATCATTTTTTTTTGTTCCCTTAAAGAGAGTTAAGTGCTGTTTTGGGTTTGTCTGAGTGTCTGTTTTTGCAGTGCAGTTTCTGTATGTTCTATCAGAGGGTGCAGTATAAGTTATGTCTGACCAATGACTTCAGAATGCAATTCCTGATGAAAACGATAGTGGTCATTGAAAATTTGATCCTTGTGTATTCTTGTGCTGGAATAAAGTTCATCATCATACTAAGTCTGTCTTGTATTTTCTTACAGATTCTTCTTTGGATGAAATTCTTAATCGCATAGAGTCAACGTACCAGACCTATAAGTCTGACGACTACGAAGCTGAGGATCCGAATGACTGCTATTGTCACTGTCATGATAGATGGGGGTAAATACAATCAATCAAATACAACATTATATGAGACGTTCTCCTGAAGTGCTATGCACAGTACATTACGGGTTTCGTGCAGGTTCTGTTATTTCAGCATGACAATAACAGCAATAAAATATTGACATGTTTTTTTACAAATATTTTAGGCATGCAAGCAAATTTGTATTTGGCCTGTCTGATTTTGAAAACTTCTTTCTTGTTAGGTATCAGGATTATGGACCATGCTATGCTTGTGAGAACTATCATTATGAGTGTGAAGCTGCCCTTTATCATGAGTAAGTACTATTTGCTATGATTATGAAGACACTTACTGACAATGATAGTCATATGCATATGTTTCACACAAATGTATCATTTTAAAGATGCCCTGGAACTAAGCACTCATGAAAAAAAAACACTACTCCATCACTTATGTACTCTGATGCAACTTTGTTGCTTGCTACATGACTAGTTCTTTCATTCCTATGTGCTTCACCCAACTTCTTAATGATGTTGCAGCTTTGTGGCCGGTTTTAACTTTCTGTCTGCTTCCTAACCCCATAGCCAGTAAAGAATTGGTAGCCAGACAGCTACTACAGTGCGCTAAATGTTAAAGGCATGTCTCTTTTTTCACCAGCTATGACCCAGTAAGGAGAGCGTTGAGCAGTGCAGTGACTGCAGCTCGCACACACTGGCAAAACAAGAAGCCGGTTGAGGCACTGATCACTCTGGAGGAAACCATGCGTTCCCTTTGTCTGCATCAGCCATGGTATGCCACCTATCTTAACTCAAGAATGAATGTCTCTTAAGAAAAGTACATTACATCTTACATTGTAAATAATGGTAAAGGTGAAAATAGTCTCATATTCTCTTTGTGGCAGAATATGTCTACATGTATTGTGTATCTGTATCGCTGTTATTACTGCCCTTCAGCATAGGGTATTGGAAGGCAGAGCACATCCCTCTCCTTCCACCACCATTTAACTCCAAACCAAAGTTGGGTACCCATTTTACACCTAGGGTAGATTGAAGAAACTGCCTTTTCAGAGGAAACAGTTGCAAGGAAACAGTATCTTGCCAGGAATAACATGGATCGAATGTCTACCTCATATTGAGATTCTGCACAATGTCCTCTGTTGTGATATCGGTGTTGTAATGCTTCCTTGTATTTCAGCGACACGACACGAAACAGCTATGCCTATGGAGACAGCAGTGATGGAGGCTTGGTCACCAGCAAACGTGCAGTCCTGCAGTCGTAAGATGTTTTTCTTCCCAGACGTTTCTATAAATTTTCAGTGATCATGATAGTGAAGATGCCTTTTTCTCAATACTCCACATTTAGATGTGTGAAATGCCATTAAATTAAATAGAGATACATATAAACTTAGCCTAGTTACTGAGATTTGATTCATCTTAATAATTATTTGATACAGTCTTAAGTATCTTTGCTCTCCAGTTAATATCCTTTGTTCCTTAATGTTTTTTCAGGATAGAGGAGCTTCTTGTAGACATGTTCATAGACCGGAGTGGCATTGTGCCATCTTCACTGAGGGAGAAAGCCTTGAAAAACATAAAGAGGATTTTTGAGCTGGCACCTCGAGACAGTGGTAACATCAGGCCAGACATGTAAGTATCAAGGTTTAAGTCTGTAATACTGTGTCAGGCAGAAGAGCTGCAATTTGTCAGACATAGCAAGTTCAATTCCTTTTTCTATCATGTTAATTTGTCCTGTCAATCTTACACCAATCATGTGCTGTTAACTACACTCTGTCAGGATAGATACATAACCCACAGCTCAGCCACCCTAAACAATACTTTTCTACATGGAAGTTAACATCCTCTTGTAATCTTACAGCCTTTATTGTGGTCTTCTATTTACTGTTGTCGACTTCTTCCCTTTAGAGCCCTTGGATTGAAAACCTGGGACGACCAGGACCTTCTGGCAGTGCTGAACGGCTCCTACAACTCTGCAGGTGGACAAGGTCAGCAGACAGCTACAGGTAGCAGCTGGAGAGGGAACAGCACAGCTGAGGTCATCGTAGTAGATGCAGTGAACAGCAGACACAGCAGCTTTACTGAGGACTACTTAGTGGTGAACAAGAGGCTCCAAGTTCTGGAGAAGGAGAAGAGGTATTGTACAAATGAAGGAATGAACAAACAGATGACAGTTGTTTGATATTTACCTTTTGGTAGTCTTCACAGTTTTAGTACATATATTTTGGAGCTGTATTTTGTCACTGATGTGTGATGCCTGTGCTTTTATCCTTGTCACAAAATATGCATATTCATTATATTGATTTGAAGTTTAATTTGACCATTTTGTCTTTTTATGCAGGTGGCAGGAGGCAGCCAACTACATCCAAAGGGTGAACATTAGATGCAACCAGTTTGGGAATGGAAGGTGTGTATGTATTATGTATACTGCAGAGGTATACTTCAGAAGTCAGCATTAAATGGCAGCCAGTAAATGGCAGCTGCTCTAGACTCTTGTGATTTAGCCCCACCACTTGTACATGCTACTAGCAATAGACCTACATACATGTATCACATTATTACGTCACAGTTTGTTTATCTGTTCTAAAGAACATTCTAGAACGGTCAGTTAAAGAATAAAGATCATTTCAAAATTTTCAAAGTCAGGTATGTTTGATTTTTGCTGCGTCTAGTTTTATTGGCACAGCATTACATGCCGTAATGGGTGATTTAGTTGTGACATTAGACGAAAGTAGTACTGTATTAAAAGCCTTATATTAAGGCTAACGCAACACAAACACACAACGCGCTACGCACCCCTGTACAATATAAACGTCAATTGACCGGCATTCATTGCGGTAAACAAACTTTGAAGTAAAAATAATGTGATAGGTCCATTCAGCCCTTGCTAGCAAAGTAAAAAAATGGCCACTAAAGAAATATGTAATCCAATAATCTAAGGTTTTTGTTTGAAATTTCAGTCTCCTGAAGAACAAGTTGCTGACCTATCTGGCACATTTGGGGAACTGGAAGGAGGTGCGCTCAGAGTTACTGAAGTCTGAGTCCCCCTCTAACCATGCCAACCGGCCCAGACTGGCCAGGCTGGATCCCACTGACTTCCTCACCATCATGAAGTGCTTCACAACTGGTCAAGGTTTGTGTGAGACCTATGATACCAGCTCTGAAGGGTATAAAATGATTTTATATTAAGGTTTTAAAAGCCGTTTTCTTTTTTTTTAACTCCCTTGTTACATACGAGTATGGAGGTATTGTTTTTCGATGGCTAAGGTATGGGTTTATGTCCGCTTGTCCAGACAGACAGAGTAGGTTGACATCATGTGGGTCAGGTGTGATTAAGATTGACAGAGAGGTCAGACACAGGAAATGGCTCTGGGAGCCAGTAGGAATTCAGGAAGCCAAGGATTGCACGAGGAACCCTCCAATACTTCACAAAAGTCTGATTTAATAAGAGCTCATGTAGTAATGGGTGTTACTTTGTATGTCTTCCCCACAGATATAGAGATGTTGGCAGCTTCTTCAGCCACTGCCCCTGCACCCAGTCTGGATGTCAACATTGATGAAGTCTTCAGGATTTATCTGTATGCCATGACCATGGAACAGAGCAACAGTCTCAAGTACAATGTATGTCTTTTAAAACTTCCTTCAAAATATAGCTGGACCCCTTTCATGTAATGCAATGTTTTTTTAGTAGTTTAATTGTAGTTTCCTTAGACCTACAGTTGTATTCTTCTTCTTCTGCTTATCTGCTGAGAAATTGGCAATGACTGGCATGTTGGGGGAAAGTTGTAAAAAGTGCTTTTCCCAAGGGCACAGCATCGGGACATGTACATGTAGGTGGAATCAAACCCAGGACTCATCAATTCCAGGCTGATTGCCCTACCATATTACACTACATGACGCCACATTCTTTATGAACATGATATTGTAAACATTTTGTTGTTGAGGGTAGCTCTAATCTTGTTTATCAAGAGATATTGAGGCAGGCTTTTAGCTAGGATTTTTTTGTTGGGCGTCCATTTTTTGCATTGTATGCTATGCTCAGCAAAGATGCACGGTGCACAAGCTTTTTAGGGGGCCTTTTTTGAAAGTCAAAATGCTCTCAAACACTACTTTTTGCATTTTGAGTTACAAATTTTGAGGGATTTGAGTTTTTTTCCTCCAGTAAACCATCATTTTTGTATTTATAGTAAGGCTGAAGGGAGGCATGTGTGCAAGGCAGGGTTGGGAGTGGAAAAAAAACAGGGCGTCTTTAGGGTGTTCTACCAAAAAGTAGGGCGTCCAATTTCTTAGTATTTTCAGTACAGGGCGTCCAAAAGACACCCTGGACACCCCCTAGCTAAAAGCCTGTATTGAGGTGTCTTGTGTCTGTGTTGTGCTTAGGAGAAGTGTGTTAGCTGGTTCATAGCATGGACATGTCAGGAGGGCTTGCAGGAAATTTTTTTGGAAGAATTCCAGGTGTGTTATTCATTTTTGCATTGTTGTTGTGCCCTGAACTTATGATATTTAGTTCTGACCTTTCCTTTTCATTATTCAGCATTACATGTATGTTCAAGTTTTTGTCGCAGAAGACATTTAAAAAAATGTATCGTATTGTTGAAGCATTGTCTAAACCGAATAAGCAATGTATGATATGTAAATTTTAGGGCAGGGAAATGTTTCTGAGTAAGGAATAAGGAAAGAACATTTCCAAACCCTGCTAAATCTAAGACTGGTTATTTCCAGAGGTGTGTAAAGCTAACCAAGAGCTTAATAGGAACATCTTGTAACCGAGTAACAAAGTTGGAGCAAAACCCCCAACTGAACAATAAGGTAAGGATAAAGCTAGTATAGTACTAGTAGATCAATGCCACAAATGGTAATGTTTTTGAATAAATTTAACATTATGTTTAATGTAAATGAAGTGTGTGAAAACTATGATCATATTTAAAAGCATTCAATAAGAAAGTTTTTTAAGAAAGTTGAATAAAATCAGTTGGGTTTGAGTTTTCATCGGATCAGACGTGAAGAAAATTAAACTGTTCTCCAACTCTCCAACACCAGAAATTTTCATGATAGTGATCAGACGTGAATGTCTTACACAGATATGGAATCTGATACATGTACAATACATGTACTTAAGTAACTGAAATACATGTGCAGATATTGATAACAAATTTCCTGCAGGTTGGAAGAGCTGTGATGGCCACGTGCTGGCTGTCAGATAACTGGTCCTCCCGGAACTACCTGCCTCCAAATGAAATCTCCACAGTCATGGATGGGTACAAGGTATCTTTCCTCACATCTTTAAATTTAGCATTCTTAGAATCTTGTGCCATTTCAGATGTTAAGTAAGGAGAAAGGAGTGTAACTGGGAGCTTGAATATTTATCGTAACAATCTTTTGCACAATTACAAAAAGGTATCTTCATAACTATGAAAAGTATGAAAGAAATGATCAAGATATCAGTTTGATAGACAACAACGGTAGAGAGAGGCACACTTTTTTCAGTGACACATGAAACATAACTGTATACAGTGTATTCAGCCATTATTGGAAGTTAAATTCTTAATGTTAACTAAATTATTACCTTCGTAATTTGGTAGATAGCTGAACTTCTCCTCATAGCTGATCCAAAACAACTAAACGTACAAAGGTCAACAATTGGTAAAAAAATTATTGCCAACATTTTCTAAACTATGCTGATTATGTTGATTTTTTTTCAGAACAACCTCTGGTTGGCTGTGTTTCTATTGTTCAGACTGTGTGAGGTTCTGAAAGCTTCCTTCAGCCACAGTCTGTCAGCGACTTGCCACCATGTGGCCAACTGGATCTCAACCCATGAAGGCTTTGACTTACAACGTGGATCAACTGGCAAAATTGTCTTTGGGAAGTAAGTTGACCTTACTTCAAACAGAGATGTATTTCTTTTAGGATTTTTTCAATCTCAAAGATTTTTAAAAAGTTAGTTTACTTTTAAGTTCAGTGTGAAGGCCTACGAAGTCTAAACCCTATTCAACCTCTTTTACTTGTATTTACTGCATATTTCCTTTCTTGCATCTAGAGTTCTCTCTCAGCTCCCTTTGGCAAAGGAGGTCTTGGATAACTTCTTAGCAGCTGTGCTAAGTGGTAAGCCGTGCTTTTTCTTTTCATTGTTTCATTTCAAGCTTCTTTAAACTTACTTAATACATACTGTTCTTCGCTTCACATATGTACTAAAGTAATTGGCCTAGTGTTGTTGCTTTGTGTTATTTGAATTATTATGATGTTTGACATTATGTCTTTTTCAATATTTTGTTTACATTTCAACTGACCATAAGAATTCTGGCACTTCATGTTGCATCTTAGGTAACAAAACACCTAAAGAAAAGGAAAGGACCGTCCTCCGAGTAAAGACAGCTGTCAGCAAACTAGCAAATAGCAGGTCAGTAATCATTACATTTTGAGACTCTCAATTGCAGTAATTGGAATTCAGACTTTATAAAGCTAGTAAACTTGACAACATGCCATTCAAATTCAGCTCTTAGAGTTAGAAAGATGTGTATTTTAGCTAGCCTGATGAACAAACCCTGGCCTTATAGTCTTTGTTCTCAAAATTTTATGGCGCCGAACGGCTATAGGCTAACGGACACATGAGTGAGAAGTTGTGGGTAGGATGCTTGGCATTCCTGTCTAGACACTGTGTCCTTTGGAAAGGCCCTTAACACAAATTTCCTCACTCCTCCCAGGTGTAAAATGGGCGCCTGACTTTGGTTGGGGAGGTAAAAGATGGTGGAAGGAGAGAGATGGGCTCTGCCTTCCAATACTGTGCCCTAGACACATTGGATTAACAACCAACTGCCTCTACAGTCTCAAAGAGCTATGGGACTACCTTTACCTATAAACTGTTGGCATAATATTTGTGTAACTGTAACATATTTCATATTGTCATATTTCTCAGGGAGCTCATTGGTAAGGTCTTGGTGTACATGGCTAAGGTGGGCAAATGCACAGAAGTGCAGGAGGAGTTGATGAAAGAAAAACAGGACGCCAAGTTCCGCCCATTGAAAGCAGTCGCCCAGATTGGCGAACAAGACTTCTTGGACATCATGAAAGCTCTGGTGGAAACTGGTGGGAAACTGTGGGGAGTTGATCAAGGTATAGTAGTACTGCTTTTACATGTGTAGCATCTTATTTTCTGGGACAGAAGTATTATTTTCTGTCAGATTAATTGAAAGTTTGTATGTTTGTGTCAAGTCTTAGTGTGCCCTCGAGGTCATAATGTGTTTGATGTGGCCAATAATTATAACAGTTGTGTATTTGCCTCTGATCTAACAGCACAATTCCAAAACATTCACAGATACCCAATACAATTCCAGAAGGCTGAAAAAAGTCTATATTTTATTTCTCATTTTCTCCCTAGCGTTTGTTATACTGTAAAGACATTGCCTATGGTTCATTCGAGTCAGGTAAACTGGCAGCTTTCATCCTGTGCTTGTATATTTCCAGGTACACAGTATACAGAGAATAAGATTTTCGAGATCTGCATACAAGGGCTAGCTTGGAATGAGAAGGTCCAACAGAGTGTAAGTGTGTTGTTATTTTTCTCCATTCTATAATTAAATCCCAGTCTTCTTGGATCATATGTTAATGATTCTGCTCAAATTTGGGTCATACTTATTAGATACATGTCTTTTGTTAGAGTGATAAAGTATCTTTACCTCCATGACAGAAGTTTCACTTTGGCCAGGACTGGTTTAAAGGGAGTTTGTACATATATTTATGTCATACCTGGGCCGCGATTATGTTCGATATGGGTGTTCCGGCCCGTGTGATAACTAGCGGTACGGGGTTCTTAATGCGTACGGCCTGGGCTTCCAAATGTTCCATAGAAAATGTGTTTCGCGCACACTTTCAAAACTTCGAGCACCAAATTCGAATGTTGGAATTGACACTGTTACACTTTTTGTTTGGATACACCAAATTTTGGCACATTTTGCATTGAGATGTTTGCTTTCTTGGATGGGTATGACATAAATAAAATGCAACACAGTGTATTCCGCACGACCATCGGTCCCATCCCTCCCGCAAATCGGATCGCGATATGGAATACACCGTGTAGTATTCTACGTGTATCTTGTGACAATGTCCTAAGCAGAATGGATTGAACTGAATGGGCAGAGATTGGGTTTCAGTTGATTGACAGGGTTATCATATGACCTGTAGGATGTGGTATGAGGTTGTGAGGAAAGAGTACTGTAATCATGGTATGAAACATAAACCATGGTGTAACTGTATTTTCTGGCACGTTCTTTACAGCTGAGCTTCATAACCTGGTTCCTGGGTTTGGTGTGTGCAGAGAAGATGGACAAGCCATGTGACTCACAAATGAAGGTGCAAAATGCTGAAAACTAGTTGGTTAATTTGTTTCAACTCTATCAGGCTCTTGAAAAATACTATCCTTAAGGATATTTTATGTAATGTTGAATGCTCGAATATAGGGACGATACTGATAAATAAGAGTTGAGGTAACTGTGTAATAAGCTATGTGATTCTTTATCAGTTTAGAAAAGTCTATAATTACATCTAATGTGCATTTTCAGCCGTTCGAAGATATTGCCAAAATCATGAAGGCGAGTCCTGCAGTGAAGATGACGTTGAGAAAGGTTGGGTTGGATACATTTCTTTCTCCTTTGTATCTGAAACAGCTTACAGCTGATTTGCTGTCCATGTCTGTTTGACTGTACTTGGTGCTGATTGGCTGTCCATGTCTGTTTGACTATCCTTGGTGCTGATTGGCTGTCCATGTCTGTTTGACTGTCCTTGGTGCTGATTGGCTATCCATGTCTACATGTGATCTGTCCTTGTTGCTGATTTTACTGTCCATGTCTGCATTTACCTACCCTTGATGCTGATTTGCTGTCCATATATACATATTAGCTGTCCTTGGTACTGATTTGCTGTCCATACCTGCATATAAGCTTTCTGTTGATTGGCTAATAGTGGCTGCATGCTATTGGTTCCTTGTGCTGATTGGACATATACACTACAATGTGTACACGTAAGTATTCTTTCTGTGTTTGCAGGAATGCAAAGCAGTGGTAGCCTGTATCCATTCACTACCTGGTCTGAAGTCCAAGGGGTCCAGTTCACGGTTCATGAGGACTGTTCTTGATATACTCAAGGTTGGTATCAAAACTGTATCAGTTGAATACTATAGAATTTACCATAATTGTGTTCAATAATTTTTGTGAAATTTGTTTTTCTCACTACTGTTAGTAATTTGCAATTGGATGACTCTTCTTCCTCAAGTCCGTGCCACAATAGAAGAGAGCATATAACTTAATTGCACATTTGTACAGGGTACAAAGTACGGCATCTACCATTACATAACTACACTTTCATATGGCTAATCTAACTAATAGAAAAGTGAGTGGCTTGTATGGGATAGGTATGAACTTACTATAAGGATGGCATGAAGTCTTCATAAACATGCATTGTTATGTAAATAAATTTCATAAATGAACACGTCTTGCTACAGGTATTCATCCTTGCCTGAGGGGTAGAAAGCTAGCAAGACACTGACTTTAATCATGAGGCTGCTTTGCATAAGTACCTCTAGTTTGCAGGAAAAAGTCTGATCAAATTGTCTGATTTTTATCACACTGCCACAGCAAAACAGGTGGTTGCTGACATATGTGTTGAATCGCCCAGATGGCCCAAGGGGCAGAGACGTGGCTGACTGGATCTCTGAGAATGGGACTGAGATTCTCAACCAACTGACTGACGATGCAACAAAAAGGTTGGGTCTAGTCACAAATATTTGCCTGCTCTGTAAATCGTTTAGCAATGGGGTATTTCTTCCATTTTGTTTGTCTGCTTTAAGTAAAGATCTCAATTACATGTAGTTATAGTACCATAGTGCCAGCATTTTTATCACTGTTCTTCCTAGAGTGCATAATGGAATAATACAAAGTATAACAATTGAAATATACACTTGAATAGTATGATGCTAAACTTTATTCCAAGACTTAGGGTACACAAGCATCCTCTGTTGTGTATCTGTGACTGTAAGGAGACAAAGTTGTTGAGTTCTGATCTTGCAAAGGACCTATATGTACAACTTAATTGATCTGCTAATTGTGTTACAGCCTGCTGTCCTCTATGCAAAAAGATGTTGCCTTCAGCATCCTAAAAGGGTTGGTGAAATCCTCAGGTAAACCCAACCACTCTTCTCGAAATCAATCTCTTCAATGCACATGGAATTCATCTATACTTCATTCTGTAAATGTGTAATGTTTTTAAAAAGTGTCAACAGTTGCGCAACTACAGGAAATTTAAGTTGTATTTTTCACTCCCACAACATTGCCTGAACCTTGGTTGAACGCATTGTCCATACTCCATAGGTAACAGAAGCCTTGAAGTGAAAAGAAGGATTGTGCAGTTTTCTGAGTGCCTGCTCAACCAACTCAAAAAGCACGAGAGAATGTCAAATGAGATCCTTGCGTACATCATTGCTACGGTAGGTCCTCACCAATTGAAGAATTACATGTATATATATAATTTCTACATTCACTAATAATTAGCTATAGATTCCCATGATGAAATCTCAACCACACTGTTTCATTATACCTCATGGGAGTTGAACACACATGCCACTACCAGTGGACTATCCCCCTGTTGTAGTGATTGCACAAAGTTGCGTGGCCTTTGAAGTGTTGAAACAGAGATGGGTGCTGTCCTATGCACCAGCTAGTGCGGGAATGACTTTAACTGTGTGTTAGACCAAATCACACAACAAGTTGGAATCCCCCTGTGTTACAGGTTGACCCCATTGCCAAGACGGTTGATGGTCCTCTAGCCAAGACGTTTGTTCAGCAGCTGTATCAGACAAACTTTGAGTTCTGCCCCACCATGAAGAGTTTGGAGGAACTCAAGAAAGTCTGCAGGTAGGAACAAGAAACACTGGTTATACTGTATAACTGGTATGTTCTTAGCAATGGTTAGCTGCCCATTAACAGTATGCGAGCTGTCCTTGGTGCTGATTGGCTGTCCATGTCTATTTTTGACTGTCCTTGGTGCTTATTCACTGTCTGTGTCAATGTTTGACTGTCCTTGGTGCTGATTCACTGTCTGTGTTTATGTTTGACTGTCCTTGGTGCTGATTCGCTGTCTTTGTCTACATGTTACCTGTCCTTGGTGCTAATTTGCTGTCTATGTCTACATGTTACCTGTCCATGGTGCTGATTTGCTGTCTGTGTCTATGTTTGACTGTCCTTGATGCTGATTGGCTGTCCATCTCCGGATGTGAGCTGTCCTTGGTGCTGATTGGCCAATCATGGCTGCACATGATGGTACCTTTGCACTTTCTGCCTAAGACATGTTCATGCATAGTGCTGATTGGTAATCCTATGTCCTGTCCTTGGTACCTATTGGTTGTCCCTTGAGTATTTATGATCCTTACTTGGTCTGATTGGCCAACCCAACTTATTTGGTGAATGGCACCAGCAGCTGTTGAAAATCTTGTCTTGTATGATGATTGGTCAGATAGTATTGTCCACATTTGACAATATTTGTTTCTTTGCAGCCCTGAAGAATGGTTACGCAAGAGGGACTCCTGCCTTGTGTATTACATCAATGACATCACAGCGTGAGTTTACAGAGCATTTGTAATGTGGTTAGCTCAAACTTCTTACAAACTACAGTATGTAAATGACAGTTTGTAAGCTTGGATATACCAAAACCATGTCACAATTATAGCTTTATGGAGTTGTGAATTGTTCCCAACAGAATACTTGCGACAAAACAGAATGTGCTCTTAATGCTATGGCAGTGCCTCTGTTTTCAAGTGTCCCATACATGTAAGTGTAACCACACATGCATAAACTTCCTTAATCTATTCAGTACTCAGCATTTAGAAATGAGTATGGGAGTTTTGAAAACACACATGTAGTAGCCTCCTGCTGCAGTGATTGCACAACTGTGTGGCTCAAGGGCTACAGAAACAGTGATGGGCACCACGCATGGTTGCAGGGAGGACTTGAACTTTTTTCCAACTTAACCTCACAAGTATGCGCGCCTGTGTGCTGGTTGTATTTTGAAGATTTTTTTGAGAAGCTGGTATTTGTACTTTTTTTCCTTGGCAGTGTGCCCACGTGCCTGACGTGCATTGACCTGCTGATGAAGAGTGGCAGTGACTACATCACCCAGCTCCTGTCCCGGCCAGTGGCCACACAAATCTGCTCCAGTAAGGGTGACGATTCCTTCAGCCCTGCCTCTTCTGATGTCATCAACAAGGTTTGTCTCATCGTGATCTCCATTAGTGAATTCCACCACTGAAACTCCGCTGGTTGGGAATTTGAATTCCAACCGTTGTCGCTCACCCGACATGCATGCTGTCGTCTTGCATGCAATTGTGTATGTCTTGAGTTTTTCAATTTGAAATAAACCATTCTACATGCTGCTGGAAAGCGTTGCAGTCCTTAGGACGGGACGTTAAGCTGTGGTCCACTGTTCATTGTGCTTGTTGAAATGAGCTAGGGGAATTTCCCTGGTACAAGGAACCTGTAAATACTGTACACAGTGTCTGTCTTCTCTGTCTCGACAGTGAGAGATTAGCCCTAAGGTGAGCTAAAACTGGATCAAGATCACTTTCCTTTTTTTTTTTTGCTTTCCTCCCACCCTATTAACATGCTCACTTTCTCCTGCATTTTTACTGAAGAACTAGCCTGGAAGACAGCCAATTTAGATTTAATCTATTGGACTTTATTCCCTTCCCTCCTTTTACCTCCTTCTCTCTGTGATCAACCCCACAGATAGCAGCAGTATTGAAGGAGCTCCCCAGTGCTGGAGCCACACTGTTCCTCCAGAAGGCTCAGAGCTGGCTTGTGGCTGAAAGCTGGAAGGGTCTGTTCTGTAGCGGAAGGTCTTGTAAAAATAAGGTGCCTTGCATTCATATCACTTGCTGTATCATAACGATATACATGTATTATCACTTTGTTTAGTACGTAATTTGTTTTGTTCGTAAGGAATTTTAGTTTCGTTTCGTAAGGAGAGTTAGCATTATTATTGAATCAGATGCATTTATCTGTAGGTAAGCCATAACATTGTAGCCTATTTGTTCATGATGCCTTGTATGTATAACATTAAAGCATTTGTTCAAACAAGGACTGCTGTGTACTATGGTGATTAAACAGAAAGGCCATTATAATTCCTTCATGTTCCCTGTGCCAGGTTCAGCCATCCATGGATGTCCTGTGGAAGGTGATAGCACAGATTTCACCACAAGATCTCGTTCTCATCCTGAAAGATGCTATGGAGGGAGTCCAGAGAGTAGGTTATGTCATTAATTTTTTTCATTAGTGTCGTCCTTTTTTTTCAAATGACAGTAAGGTTGATGCTTTTCCAGACTTTCCTTTTACTTTTGTAAACATCCTCCATAGAGAGATGATCATGAGATAGTAGAAATAATGTAGCTCTGTAACATTTTATTTAACAACTGGACAGCAGGTCGAGAGGTTATGGGTTTGATTCCTGGCATTCCTGGCTAGAAGTTGTGTCCCTGTGAAAGGCACAAGGCCGTGGAAGGAGAGCGATGGGCTCCACCCATCCTCCCATGGCAGGGGCAGCGGCTCCAAATTCCTTCTCCACCCCTTACCCCTGCCGAATAACCCCGCATCTTCTACTCTGCGACCCCAGGAATATTAATATTCATGAGCTTTCCTTATTTGGCATGACCCCATTTCTGACTTGGCCGCCGGCGACTCCGCCGCCGCCCGGTGATGAGCCCGTTGGGGAGGCCGTGCGGGGCAAAGTCACCGAGCCGCCCCCTCTTTTCTCCGCGCCGGCACCTTCCCCGTGCTCGGCGGGATCCGCAAGCAGCCTCCAGCACACGCTAGCACCCCGCCGACGCCCGCAGCGGCCTGCATCGCAAAATTCTCTTTCCAAGACGATGCCATGTTTGTTTTTATTTGTCACTGAACAGCCGATGTAAGAGCCGACATGATTGGTTCCGATAGCTAGCGTAGCTCATAAATATTTAATGTAGAGTGCGTTGAAGATTTTCTCTGTGATACGTGATTGGCTGAGAGCGTGTCCCTGGAATCGGGTCGCAGAGTAGAAGATGCGGGGTTATTCGGCAGGGGTAAGGGGTGGAGAAGGAATTCGGAGCCGCTGCCCCTGCCATGGGAGGATGGCTCCACCTTCCAACACCATGCCCTAGACACAGTGGATCAACAACCCGCCCTTACGGCCTTAAAAAGGCTATTGAACTAAAGCCTTAATTGTCTCTATTACATGTATTCTATTTCCAGAGACTTAACATCATCAGTGTGAACCAGTTACTCCGGAGTGCGTACGTCAGCTGGCTGCTCCGTGTTAAGGACGCCTTCCAGCTCGCAGGCCAGCTGTATCAGTTTGGCCAGATTCTCAACACGTCCATCCGCCTGCTACGAAGGAAGCAACAGCTCACCAGGTAACTGATTCAGTATATGATTTCTTAGTCCTTCAGTTGAACCATACAACAACTTTCTGTTCAAGAATGGCATAGGTTTATATCATATTTACCCGTGTTTTTTAAAACTAGCATGTATTTCTTCATTTCTCTATTAGGTTCTATATTGTGCCTTCCCTTCTTGTTTTGTTTTCATACATGTCATTGAATTTTCTATGATAGTATTCTAATGTTTTTAAAGTTCATAGTCTTTGGACAATTTTAAATGAGACAATTTATCTTGCATGGATGATAAGGACATGTAAGAATTGTATCACACCACAATGAGTTTTGAAAACATACAGAAACAGGATGGGTATTTAGCTTTAGTTGTCTTGACCATAACTCCTACCTTATTTGTTTCATGTCTGACTCAAAGTAATTTGTTTCATTGTGGCTGTAACATTTTATGTGCTCATAAACACATGAAAATGATCCACTAGTGAAATAAATGAAATCATATTAATGTCCTTCCGTTACAGGGAAGTCACGACCAGTGGACTCCTTCACAACCTCCCAGACAAGGAGAATCCTAATGCCAAGAAGAAGGGGAATGGGGCTAGCCCTAACCTGTCCAACGCCCTCCAAACCCTCAACATTTCCAACACGGGTAAAAACTCGAACGACGCGGTAACCATGCTGATGAAAGAACTGATAGCAGACAAGTCTTGCCCCGTGGCAGATACACATGGAGCCAAGCACCAACCCACCAGCGTATCTGCTGATGCAACCCCCATGGATTGGGCAGATAATGGCTCTGGTAATTCGGTGAAGAAAGTCAGCAAACCCGTCTGCAGTTCATCTAGTGTACAAGCTGCTGGGAAATCGGAGAAGAAATCTGGCTACCAAACACGAAGCAAAGACAAAAGTAATGCCCAAACACGATGCAAAGACAAAAGTAAAACCCAAGCACAAAGCAAAGACAAAAGTAATGCAAAGACCTCTTCACCACCGTGCACAAAAGCCCCAGCCACAGTGTCAAACAGCAGCACTATGGCTGCTTCTGTTGAACCTACCAAAGCTCCTGGCAATGCTAGTCCTGGAGGAGACCAAAATTCTGGATCAACAGAGTTGGTGAACATTGTGTCTAAGATCTTAGGTCAGTGGCACACCTTCATGTTAAAGTGACACCATAATGCAACAGTACTGTATTTCTATTCACTTTTTGAAATTTTATAAACCTTGCCAACCCAAGATGTTTTTATTCGGTCATGTTAACATGCTTTTCTAATGCCTCATTCTTCTGATTATTTTAAGGAACTTTATTATGAAAATTTGATGCACCATGGTGACTGTCTGGCTCAGGTCATTAACCTCATTTGTTTGGAGAAGAAGAAACGGAGCAAGAACAATTTGCTTTCTTTCTGTGAAGGTAAACACAATAAGTGTTGTTTGTCTCTTCCACAGAACTGACGAAGAGTACAGGAGTAGACGGAGCCTTTCAGCTCATCATAGGGAGGATGACAGGGAAGGTGGCTTCCTCCTCACCACTGGCTGAAGAAATCATCTCCAAGCTCCTTAAACTGAAAGGACCCATCAACCTCAAGATAGGTCAGGGGACTCATTGATACATGCCAGTGTGTAACTGTAGAGTAGATTGTTATATAAGGTGGCTCACAAATACTGGTGTACATATCCAATCCAGTGTCAAAGGTGATGGCAAAATGATACACAAAACATGAGACCGTGCTTTAAACATTAGTTTATGTCTTGGCGGTCTTCACCTTTGACATATTACATACATGTACAATGTCTTACTAGTATTTCTGAACCACCTTATTGACCTCTATGTACACTTAACCTGTAGTTTCTTCATTGACTATTTGACTTTCTCCTTAGGTTGTAAGATTCACCAAATTCCATCCCAACGAGTAGTTCCTTGTTGCTAGCTATGTGAGTTCTGCTAATGAAATGCTTTCTCAGAGGCTATGCTAAGTTTGCATCTGAAATACTGGCATCTCTTCACCAACTGCAGGTAACAACAGACTGGTGATCAACTCGCAACTGGCGTCTTCTACACCTGTGATTCCGAACTTGCCACCTCCCCAGCCTGCCCAGACAATGCCGGCTCCAAGAAGGGAGACAACTGTGCCCTACGCTGACCCAACCACTGCCAGCATCTCCCAGTCAGCTCCACAGCACAGGTATGGGACAACCGCTGGTCCAAACCTTGCCCCGCGCCCCATTTTACCTCTACACGTAGCTCTGTCAACATCTACAAGATCTATCACCACACATGTACCAGGTGCCATGCCACCTGTTTCTGGGTGCGTTGCCATGCCAGGAACAGCTATTGTGCCAGCTCAACCATCCACTCTCCTTACACCAGTCACTAGTACAGTATCCCATCCTTCATCCTCTACAGCCACCCCGAAAACTGGGCTGTCCATTGCCAACAGCAACAGTATGGTGGATACTGCTGTCAAGCCATCAACACAAGCACTAAGTACAACATTCGCAGCTGATATTCTAAGGCAGATCATATCGGATATTGACGCTGACAAGGGCACAGCTCCCAGGATGGTCAGAAAACCAGGAGAGATGCCAACTTCCAAGATGTCAGCATCAGGCAATCTGACGTCTACAGCACCTATAGAAGCAGCTACGGAAGAGCCTATGGAAATAGAGTAAAGTGGACATATTGCATACAGGCCTACTGAAGTGTCAATTGACTCCTAGAGTCATTTTAAAAGGATGGATGGGAAGAATGATGATGAGAACTTTGTGCCATCTGCCACATCTGTAACAGAAAAGCCTCTCCTTTGAGATACTTACATGTGTATCAAACACATTGTCAAGTATTGTTGCTAGCGGTGTATAGTTTACTGTTACATGTACTTCAGAGGTGACCACTATACAAAGTCAACCACTAAGGCCACAGCAAGCAAATTTTATGGATGACATCCTCCACAGATTCCAAATCGAATGCAACAGGGCGAAAAAAAAAACAAGGCGGCCGAAAAAAAACAAGGTTCCTACAATTTGAAATTTTGACTCAATCATTGTACAATGGTTTTGATTCAGTAGGAACATCACATATACACAGCCAGCATCACATATCACTGCATCAAAGTAAGAAACACAACATTAAATCAGAGCCTTTTCTTGTCTCGATCTCTCACATAGTTATCTGACATCCACCTTCTGGCATGGCAACAGACATCTTTGCCCATTTTGGCATGTTGACCACTGTCAGAAGGCAACAAAATTTCTTGTTTTTTTTCCCAAAATCAGACGAAAATTAATGCGCGCATTGGTGTCATCCATAAAAATTACTTGCTGTGGCCTAATACAGGTTTACATGCCCATGGTGTTCACAAAATGAAAGAACCTCTTTATTTCCTAACAAATTAAGTGCCACATGAGTTACAAGTCCATCTTGAAGCTGATAGCTTCAGGCACAAGTCAGCTATAAGCCATAACCTTTTAGTTATAGTAGATTAAAGGTTTTTAAATTTAAAAAGTTTTGTTACACCTGTGTGGAGCTAAACATAACTTATATTTTTTCAAGTTATTTAGGTGGTAGAGCGGTCACAGTTGAAATTATTTTGCCACATGTTCCACCAGGCTATTTTTTGAAAGTCTGTGAGACTTGTCAGTATAAGGAGGAGGCAAAATGCATTACCATTAGTTTATGTTCAGACCAGTCATAACAGTTTACTTCAAGTTGTCAGAAGCATATATTGTTTGTTTTTACTAACTTGTTAACATGCATTGTTACACTTGTTTATTGAGATACTACCATAACATTGTTACAGTTGTTCACACATACAGAAAAATATATAAGTTGTTCTACTACTAGTGCGATGAGGGATTTCATTTTTATTTTGCTCAAAATCTCTCTATCACACACACACACACACACACACACAGAGACAGACAGACACTCAAATACTCAGAGATAGGCACAAACACTGTCTCATATAGGCACTTACACATCCAAAAACACACCGACACAATAGTCATTAAAACGTATATAGGAAACACTACAGTCACAATACCAAAACAAAAAAAAGCTGAGGCAATGATACATGTAATTTAACAAAGTTTGTTTATTGCAGATTTGGTCCTCTCCTCCCAGCCCATGTCACCATAGCTGCCGGTATGACCCAGTAGGAAGTAGATGTTGTCGTGTAGCCCACGAACGTTTCCCAGGGACTCATGGCTTACTTCTCTGTAAACTTGTCATCACCACTGACTCCTTGGGTAACTGCAGTCAATACTGTCAGCATTGAACTGCTGTTGATTGTGTTGTGCCACATCACAGTTATAAACAACTACTATACATTTAGCTGCAGCCTTTTTCCAAAACACCCCCCACACACACACACACACTGATCTCCTTGAAAGCTCAGTGTATTCTCAATTTGCCTATTCTAAAACGCATGCATTTTGAATGCCATAACAAGATTACAAGAACTGAGTAGAACAAGGCAGATGTACAGTAATTCCTTGCTGTTCCTTCGCAGTACTAGTAGACTCTTAAATGGTTTTATCTAGACCCTAATGAATGGACTGCATCCCATTGTTTGCTTCAGTTTCTATGGTTACCATGTTAGACAAATGACCACGCCCACCATGAGAGCTGAGCGTGCATCAGTGAACGCCTGAAAGTAACTGAACGAATGTGTGATATAGGTGTGACATAACCTTTGCTCACAGATCACGTGAACCACGCTCCACCAGTTAACCTATGTCACTTGTTGATCGACTGCGCATGCTAAACAAATATCACGGGACAGGTGAAACATCTGATGTACTTGTTCCTTCCCGAAGATTGTTTTCCAACGCCGACAAACAAAGAACAAGATTTGTGGATAACCCAACCGTCTTATGGTCTATAATCACTATCAAATCATTGCAACTGTTCAAGTACAAGAATGAATGGAGTCCCCCATAACCCGGAAAGAGCACCAGCCCATTCCATTCCCTAAACGTAGCGTGTAAACCCTATATGTATAGTGACGTGGCACAAACCAAATTTCAAAGCAGATGTACGTTTTTGACTCGGATTTACGTCTCTTTGAAGCATCTGCTTTGTACGTATTTTGTAGGTAAAATACGCACGACCTTATGCTACAAAAAGAGGTAGAGAAAACAAGCCAGAATCCTACATCTGCTCACAAATAAGCACAATCAATCCTACCTTCCGATTCCGACGAACCATGGACGAACCAAACGCTGAAAAATCACCGAGGTCCCCCGTATCCTCACCCGACCGCGGGGCACCGTAAAAACCAGCCGCCGCGGTCGGGGCGAGAGTTCGGGGGCCCCCGGGACACCTCGCCCCAACCTCTCGCACCCTGACAAGGGGTGATTGCGAGGCCGCTGACGGGACGAGGACCCAGAAGCCGGGGTGTGGTTTTCCCGATGAGTGAACTCACCGGGAGTTACGCGAAGTAAGCATGAGTCCAGAAGGAAATGTTTGGTAAACCCACGACAACACCCACTTCCAGTCCGCCATGGTGCCGAAACGACGCCGAATGGACAGACGCGGAAGCGGGCAGCCTGGTGGCTCAGGGCTCGGAGGTTGTCTGACTTCTCCCCTGGCAACGCCCACCTTTTATACCTGCGGGTTTGGGTTGCGCAACAAGGCGCAACGCGTCGCGGCCTGTCATTGGTTGGCAGTGTCGTAATGGGTTTGCTCATGCTATTTTGGGTGTTTGTCTAACGGAATATGCTTTGACAGCATTATACTGGGGTATGTAAATTTTAGGTGATTCCCGACCAGAATCAATTCTTCCACAAATGTCTTCGAACGATCTTGAATTTTTGAAACCATTCACATTCAAGCTGCTGTGCAGCTATGTATTTATTCCTCGCCTGTAACATTTACGACATAAATTTGGTTATATAGATTAGTTATGCACGATATCAAAATGTAACTTTTGAAAACCTACTACATTACACTCTTTTGTAACGTGATTGTTTCGACGAAAAAGACAAGGGTTTCGGAAACCTTCTCCAGTGAACCTTAATAGAAGCGCCACCTTGCGTTTAACAGGTGTCAGCCAACACGACAGGTGGTTAATATACTCTCCAGGCGGAGGTTTGGGTACTGGCTTACTAGTATTTATGGCGTGTTGATGGCTTTTTTATCGAGCTTTCTTGTTTGAACTGGTATAGATACGCCTATAACTTATAAGCACGCCAAAAATAAGCCAACACCCAAACATCTGCTTGGAGAGTAAATCTTTAAGCACGTTTTGGAAGGGAATATCGTAACGTATCGTTATGTTTTCTTAGTCTCTATTTTCCGACAAGTGAACCACTAGTGGTGTACAAAAGAAGAACGACGAAGAGAAAACGCCAGGATGACCCCTCTCAACATCTGCTTGGAGGTTAACAGGTGGCACGGAAGTTCGGCAATTTCCGTCGCCGATCGGAAGCCGTCGGTAACTTTCTATGTGGAGGTGTGTATGTAAGTAGAGATGGTGCCAGCTGCGGCTGTAAGTTGTACACAACCGCTCTGCAGTCCACTGGGACTGGACCCGGGGTTTAAAAGTACGTGTTTCAGTGTTAAATACTTTACTAGTAGATAAATACGATATTCTAAAGATGATAGAGTTTGAAAACGACTTTCTGTGGATGTTGTTGACGTGTGAGGGGGAGGGGGGCGTGTTCAAGTGAAGCATGTTTTCATGCTTCGTGTTTACATTGTTAAGGCAGAACTAGGCCGACCTAAGTCTTTATTTTGGGTGGAACCCTGCAGGGGACATGAATTTTTCGAGCTGATTGACCTTTTCTACCTCCATTATCTGACACCTGACTGTGAAAAAACGTTGTACAATCAGTTTTCCAGCATTGACATTGAAAATATAACGGGAAGGGTCCTAATTCCGACCTATATCCACAAGCTAGTTTTCCTTTGTTAAACTGTATAAGTTGGATCAAGGACGCTATAACGTCCTTGGTTGAATCACCAGAGATTGCCAAAGTTTAAAAAGATAATCCTACCTACCAACCCTAATTTTTCAGGACAGGAAACACATGTTAGAACAACATGTTTGTGTTGTTTACAGTTGATGTTTGTATCCATGAGCCCCTGTGGGTGGTGCCGGTAACCCGGGGTGATGTTGCCGTGGAGATTGTGACGCTGTGCTCACAGCTGGAACTTCTGTGTGAAAAGGAGATGAATGAGGTATGGAGCATCTACATGTACAAGCAGATGTAGGGTGGCAAAAAGACAGTATCAAATCGGCCAGGCAGTATCCATTGGCCAGAGAGGGTCCATGCGCAACCCAAGTTGATGGGGGGTAGCAACAAAAAAAGGGCCATATGTAAAAGGTAATGATCTTTCTGTAATAGGGTGCCCTAGCCTGTAGTATATGGATAATAATAAGTATCATAGGGTATATTAAGTTTCTGGTACAGTAGGTTGAAAAACCACTTTCTTGTTCTTGTACTGAATCATTTTCCCTGTTCTGAGAAATGTAAAGGATCTTTGAGTGACGGCTAGTTAATGACCCAAGAAGAACTAATGGGGTCATGACAGTAGGGGACGTTGCCTTATTTGGTAATGGTCAGGGATTTTCCACTAATGATTAAGGAAGTGATTCAACATGACTGGTACAGGAAGTATGATGCACTTTTTCCAAGAAATGTATGTGTGGGTGGCTAAGAGTATAAAAGCCCATGTAACCATGTAGTCAAGTCAGTATCAGAGAGAATCGGAGAGGAGAGAATACAGTCACGTCACTATGTAGCTCTGGCTCCTGTGTCATTTGTTCCGGGTACGTACATCTACAACATCGGCGGCCATCTTACGAACTTGTAAGGGTCACCCATCGAGACTGAGGTCACTTTAAGCTACCATGTCTTCGTCTTTGACCTTGACATACCCTTACAATCAGATAGTAGAAGCACAGGGCACACGTGAACAAAAATGCCCTATTTTCGTAAGGCGTAATCAGGCCTTTTTAATGTTCGTAATCCGTAGGCAGCCTCCCAAAAATCAACGTAATTCGTAATACTACATTAGCCGCAAAGCGTAAAGTCGTAATCACCTCTGAGACTTTAACGTAATTCGTAATCGATGGCGAAATTTTTGCGTAATTCGTAATCATTACCCCCCCCCCCCATGCAAGCTCCGATATTGTGTACGTCACAAATATCGGTGTCTGATTCGGCCTTCTGTTATTGTGACATTAATTTCTAAAAATGACCTCTTACTAGCTACTGCTCATTTCGGCTTGTAACACTTCACAACTACTGGTTGGTTGAACCTTTAAGATTCTGACCTAAATGAATCATACGTGAATAACTTTGTAATTACATAAAATTAATGTAATTACGTTGCAAATTTAAATTGACACTGTAACAGCCAGGTTTAATCATCCAACATGGCAGACAATACTGACGTCATAGTCACGTGAGTGCAAACACGTTAACCTAGCTTCATCCTACATCCACAACATCGGCGGCCATCTTACGAACTTGTAAGGGTCACCCATCGAGACCGAGGTCACTCTAGGCTACCGTGTCTTCGTCTTTGACCTTGACCCACCCTTACAAATGGTGGCAGCGGTGGGATGGCTGCGTACGTCGCCCAGGACAGAGGACCAGGAGCCAAGTTCAACGCTACAGAAGACTGAAGACCAGAGAGGCTACCAACGATACCACTGGCAGACGAGCAGACAGGAGAGCAACGGGTTGCTGCCTTTCAGCTGACAATGGAGGTAGAACTACATACGTTGTTGTCTGACCGCTGAAATGTTATATTGTTTTAGTGTAGAGAGGCTTCGTTTGATAGGACTGTCGTAGGTCCACGGACGTTGAGAATGTGGACATGCTGATTGTAGTTCGTTTTGGTACTAATTGGTAGGGATAGTTTTGTGCTGTTGTAAAAGCTCTAGGATTGAAGAATTATTGTTATTATTGATTTCAGAATCTGTTTTACTTGTTATCCGAATTCAGCTATCCAGGGTTAGGATTATGTCGAAAAATGTTGGGCAAGGCGTGCCTTGTAGCCTGGTGTGTTTGGCGGTTGCCATGGTGAAATTCCATTCTTCAAGTTATCTTGGCCAGGAGGAGAAAGCATAGTGAATCAGGAGAAAGTTGGACCATGAACATTGACGAATGTACTAAAATTTCAAATTAATGGTTGTTGCTTGGCAGGGTGCTGTAAATTTGTGTACCAAAGATAAGTTGAGATGTCGGTTAGCATAGAAAGTGACCTGTTTTGTCGTTGTATACAGTCCTTGAATTTTTGGTTTGATTGTGTAATTAGTAATACTCAGGAAGAAGTGAGTGGAGTTTTCAGGATAAGAAGTGAAAAGTTTATCGACGCGTGAGATCGCGGAGGTGCAGATTTTAAGTGGTAGGAATATAGGACGACAAAGCTGAGACGTTGAGTGTATTGTTCGATTCATGTGTTTTGTTAACCAGAAAGTCAAGCTAGGTAGATTTGTTGTGATCACCAGGATCACCAGGATGTCACATGCATAGTTCTGACGGGCTCTTCGTTTCCTTGGAAACCCAAACCTCAGGGACTGAATAATGATTCAGATGGAGCGATGATGCTTTGCCAGATGGGCTTGTTGACATCTTTGTTTAGTGGCACGTGTAACTTTGTTCTGATTTAGAAAAGGACAGGCTAATCAATCTGTTGTAACAAGTGCTAAGTGACAGCTCTATGAAGGAAGATGCATTGATGCTAGGGCATTGAAATTTAATTCACGTTCAGAGAATTTGAGGAGAAGAAGAGGTTTAAGAATATAGAGTTAAGAATTAAGGATTTTGAGGAATAAGGAGTTTGATGATTCTCCGGCGGTCAGACTGTGGCGTTGTGTTCTTTCCTACGTTGTATGCGACTTATCGTGAGGATGGCAGGATTTCACGGCTCTTTGGGACCCCAACCGTGTCACGTGCGTCTCCAGGACACCGGCTTGCCGATCAACCCCACAGGGACTTCTACAAGCGCCAAGTGCTACACCGAAGGTACATCCGAAAGGGCCCCGGGTAACACGCTACCGGAAGGATCAATGCAAGTGCGGATCCTGCGTGTCGTATACCGAAAAGGCGTGGGACTGGTTACCAGCGCAGACGAGTCTAGGAGACCGAGGATGAACCAGGAACTACGAAGAGAAGTTGATTATGGGATGAACTGAATTGAACTTATGATGTCCATAGAACCAATGTGAAATTGTGAAACATGTATCATTGAGTACTGTTACAAGTGGTATGGGAAGGAACGATTGTATTGTCTATTGTTAAGCGTCGCTTTTATATATATATTAACCGTTCATAACACGTAACTGTTCCGACTTTCTATGTTTTGCACTAATGTTAGACGCATCTGTAATTACGTCGCCAGGGACGGCTCCATTTTGAAAGGGGAGCATGTAATAGGGTGCCCTAGCCTGTAGTATATGGATAATAATAAGTATCATAGGGTATATTAAGTTTCTGGTACAGTAGGTTGAAAAAACCACTTTCTTGTTCTTGTACTGAATCATTTTCCCTGTTCTGAGAAATGTAAAGGATCTTTGAGTGACGGCTAGTTAATGACCCAAGAAGAACTAATGGGGTCATGACAGTAGGGGACGTTGCCTTATTTGGTAATGGTCAGGGATTTTCCACTAATGATTAAGGAAGTGATTCAACATGACTGGTACAGGAAGTATGATGCACTTTTTCCAAGAAATGTATGTGTGGGTGGCTAAGAGTATAAAAGCCCATGTAACCATGTAGTCAAGTCAGTATCAGAGAGAATCGGAGAGGAGAGAATACAGTCACGTCACTATGTAGCTCTGGCTCCTGTGTCATTTGTTCCGGGTACGTACATCTACAACATCGGCGGCCATCTTACGAACTTGTAAGGGTCACCCATCGAGACCGAGGTCACTCTAGGCTACCGTGTCTTCGTCTTTGACCTTGACCCACCCTTACATTTCCTCATTAACCTCATGCTTGGAGAGTATAAACTTCATGGTTGAAACAATTGTGTACTATGATAAAAATACAGAGCATACACATAATCGTGGTGGCGTAATTTCATTTTAAGTGGACTCAGTCAGTGAAAAATACGAAAACAAACCCACCGGAAACATTTCACAATGTATTATAATAAGCACTCTATTCTAAGCAATGTGTACCATGACCAGAAACATAATATATATTGTCCATGATTCATGTTTGACTTGAGTTAGTAAGCTCACATGCTCACTGTTCCCTAATGATGAAGGTTAGACATCCATGTGATTAATGTCAACTTGTTCTCTCAGTTCATTTACTAGTAATTAGTGATGCTGAAGAAGAGTAGTGACATCTGTCACTCGAAATGTCCTGAAGTAATCTCCGCAATGCATCCAGTAGTAGAGTTCGATTTTTCTTTGAACACTACAGCAAATGCAGAAATGTTTTGTTCCTTGCTTTCTCCCCAGGGAGTATCTAAAGAGTTTCTATCCCAGGACAGATATAGGAAGTCTCTGAGCCCCACGTTTGAGTCCCAGGCCATGGTGCTGATTGGGAAGATGAGGGAAGCCCTGAACAGACTGCCTCAGCCTCCTGCTTTCATACAGGTGGGTGAAATATAAAATATACAAGCAAATGTTGGGATAGGAAGGCACTAATTGTTTTCTTGCTTTCCTGTAGGCTGTTGCATGTAAGATTGACAGCATCAAGATAAAGATATACAGTATCTTTCTTTTGTTCATTGTCATGCAGTTCAATATGTTTATTTAACTTATATGGTAATATAAGGTATCTTAAGTTTCTTGGCAAAAGTTTGATTAAAAAATAGTGACTATCTGTTTTTGAAGCAATTTTTTTGTGTACTTATCTCATTGCTTCATATACATATATAGTATACACTGCTTGGTCATGCAAAGACTGTGTTTTTTTACAGGACTACTTACAGAGCACCAGTCTTTCCGGCATGTTTCCCCGAGCTGCAGCATACATCGCTAACCCACAGACACTCTACAACATGGGACAACAGGGCAGTATGGATGGTCAGTCTCTTATTGGTGTCCAGCAGAACATTCATCAATGAAGAGTTAACCAGTGGCACTTGTTTGCATAATTCATTTACTTGGGCATTTTTTTAGCATTTCTATACCTCTATACCTGTATAGCGAGTATAACTGCCCTTTGGTGTAACACTCCAGCTTCGGAGGTACGCGGCACGGTGGCAGTTAGCTATATAACACCAAACGACCTATCACACCCAATCTTTGCACTATATAACTGCAAGCTTTCAAACTATCTAGTGAGGGTGCCCCTACTGAATTTGTAGCTATACAAATTCTGTACAAATAGTTAAAGTTTGCTAGTTATGAGGAGAGTCAGTGAAGTTTCTAAAGATCCTAAAGTTAAAAAAGAACAAATTACAATCAATGTTATCATGTTATCCCTAAAGTTATTGGCGATTCAACTAGATCAGCCTGTATGATACAGAATCTACATTTTGGGTCACTGTCTGTTGTTTCTATCCAGATTACTTCCAGCACATGGCCAGTCTACACCTGGTGTCAGCCATGTGTCATCAGCTCAACACAGATGTTAACAACCTCACCAACCATAAATACATCGCTCACCAGGTGGCACTGCTATATGTAAGTGTTTTTTTCTTTGCTTTGTATACCTGGTAAACTGCTCTGAGTCATAACACACCAGTTTTGTACAGTAAGCACAAGCTGTGTAACTGTAAGATTCACTCACACTGGTAAGGACCCCCACTCCTATCAATAAGGGTGTACATGGTGGGATCTTTAAAGTGCTGGAGGTGTGGCTCTCAAACACAGAACCTCCAGCATTACATCCTATCTCAGAATGATTATCTGAGAGTCCCTGACTAAAGGTACCTATACGTAGGTGCTCATTTTCACCCGAGTCAAGTGAGGACGTGTAAAGTACCTTGATTGAAAGCTTGTTGGTAAGCGCTTTACTTTATGTACAGAATTAGCATGTGAAACCTTCGTGATGATTTTGTTTCCTTTTGTCCTTTGCAGCAGTCGGTGAGTCCCCTAGGTAGCAGAGGTCCCCTGGCTCCACATGAGAAGGCCATCAAACAGAACTTCAACAACATCAAGCAGGCCCTGACTGTCCCTGCTGACGGGGTGGACCCTCCCAGGCTGCCTCCTGACCAGACTGAATGGTAACACACTCAATAGTATGAAAGTGTGAGAATGTAGTAATGAATGTAGTGAATTAATGGGTGAAAGACCGTACAATTTTGAATCTGATCTCAAATCAATTTAGCTGACTGAAGAGCTACGTAGTATACTCTTCCACTGGTTATGACAGAGAATACACCTGCTATGTTGCTATGTGCAGCATTTATAGGTTTGTTGTACCAGGCACACCTGGCTCTTTTTGACAAATACAATGAACCACTTGTTGTCGTCCTGTCCTAAGAACTGTGACCCTTTCCAGTGGCATGCATGTCAGGGGAGCGACAACAGCCATGTTTCAAACTCCCAGCCTCTTGGTCCAGAGGCTGGGTTGCTATCCACTGGAGTATGCATACTCTGATGTACCCAAGGCATTTCTTCACACTTGCAATTTAGTGAGCCATCTCACATTTTCTTCTTCAAAGTTTCTAACCTTTGGTTACTTCTTGACACAGGATGAACTGGCTGACATCCTCCCTCCTGACAACAGTGTCAGACTTCCCTCCAGAGCTGAGGAGACCCATGCAGCCTGTTCTCAGCTTCCTACAGACTCATCAGTGACACGTGTAGTCTGCCATACATCTGCTTGGAGATTAGCAGACAACAGCACATCGGCAGAACGTACTGCGCCTACGTGAAACCAAGGAGCTTGTAGGGAAACTATAGTTTCGTGTTAGATGTTTGGTCAGTGTTTCTTTAGAATCTGTATGCATCTGTTGGGTAAGATTCATATTTTCCGACACTACAATTCAAACTACAGATGGAATATCATTCTTACCGTTAAATATGTTTGGTAGAAGTGCTATGCACATTTTATGTACCAGGTTTCACAGAGGTGCAGTATGTTCTGTGAACTTGATGCAGATAACCACTCTGTTCCTCAGGAAATATGAGCTGAGTAGTTAAGACATTTTTTGTTGGCAACTCATTAGATATGGGGCCCCTAAACTTCACATACACACTAATGGGGATCCTAAACAAACAAACAAACATACAGTGTATTATGTTACATGTTAAACATTGCTAATATGATTATACAACTGCAAAAAGATCACAATTCAACCTTCTCCCTGCTGCCTCCATTGGTAACCAATAAAAGTGCTGCTGTCTAAAGGCTACTATAGCATATTGAAAATGAACATAATTTCTTTCTCTTGTACAACAAGACACACAATGTTAAATTTAGGCTTGGATAAAATCCAACAATTAGTGAAACATCTCTTGATGCCACTTAACTTCATTTATAAGTAGTAGATACCTTTCTTTAATGGTGCTCTTTAATTGTTATTACTAAGATCATGGGAAGATGTTTTACCATATCATTACCATCTTTAGTTGATTATTGCATATTGGAGCTGATATGTATGTATCCATTTCCCTTGTTACATGTATGTCAGGAAGTTGTATGTGTATTTTGCTATCATTCATAATAGATTCTGTTACTCATAATGCATATCATAGATTTATCCTAAAATGTATATTTCTCTACAATACTTTACTGGATTGCTACAAGTGTAATCTGTATCCAGACATTGTGTTTAGGTGTAGAACCTGGAAGGTCTTTGGTTATATTTAAGATACATTTGTAGGTTGGCAATGGTTATAATGTTAGGATCGTTACTTTTCAGAGTAAAAATATTAATTTGGCAAGAATAGACATATCTTGTTAAAAGTCATTAAAAATATGGAAATGAAGTATTTTGTCACACAGGTTGTTAATTTTTTAATCCCACATAAGAGCTTCACTTACTTCACCTAACTTTGGCATTTCTTATGACATTCCGATGACTGTCTATCATCTTCAATTTTGTCTGGTTCACTGTGCACTGAAGCTTAAGAATTTAACTTTGTCTGCTTTATAGCTATTATTTCATATCTGACACACTACTATTCAAATGTAACCCTAAACTACCTCTGATGTTTTTCCTTTCCTCCCTAATACTAGACTAAGTAATAGGACAGAATTTAAACATTATACTGTTGGCATCCTCCATACACAAAGACACATACAGTGTCACACACACACACAGACATGCCAAAAACAATACTTTGCTTCCTTGAAGAAGACTGTATTTGTATACAATTTCAATATACATCTGATCCCCCTCAACAAGAAGTCATATGTAGGTAGAACCTGCAATACACATATATACATGTAATGTAACATGTATACAATCCCTGAGTAATACACTGGCTATTTCTCTTACATTTTACACCAACTATACCTTTTCACTGCAAACCATTCAATTTCCTTTACTTCTCTAGACTATCTTTTAGGCTCATCATTTTGTAGTGAACCTTGGAGAAGTTCTCTGATTATTTCTAATGTCTCGGAGGACGCCTTCTGTGACTGGTCGTACTTGTAAGTCTTTGACGGTTTGACACATTCTTGGAGGGCTTTGTCCAGCCGATCTGCAATGGCAGCAGGAGGAGAGCGTAACAAACCACCAAATGGAAGACTGCTGTACCTCACGAATATCTTCTTGCAGATGGCCTGAATAAAGGGATGATTTCAGATTAAAAAAAAGTATTTTTTACAAGTACAGCTTTAAATAGCATACTATGAAATCAGCATTGAAAATCAGTTAAAAAAGCCAGCACAGGCTTAACCTCAGTTGAGGATGACAAAACAACAATTAAGGCTAGTATTTTCCTTTGCATGACAATATTATGTCTAAAAATTGAGCAACTAAATCTATAGTCTCGATGAAGGTTAGACATCCAGGTAATATGATACGCCAAAAAGCAGTTACTCAAGCAACTGGATATGATTTTGGAAACGGTCAGATGTTGAGTAACTGCGTTTTGGCACAACTAAATCTATGTTTGGTAACTTTGGTTACATGGATTATTGTATTAAGAACTCACCTGCAAATTGTTGTTTGACCTGTGTTTTGAACATTTCTTACGCCCCAAGTCACAGAAAGATGCACAGTCAAAAAAATCGCAGTCCTCGTTTTTCGTGCAGTTTTCCTGCCCCAGAATTCCCCGCATTTTGCTCTCGAAGAACGCCATGTCCACATCTATGGCTTGGATGGTTAAGTCTGCAGACACCCCATAGTTGTCCGGCTTTATGTCACACAGATGCAGTGGTTCGGTATAGAATGTCTTCAAGTCTTCTAAGAATGTGAGGAAGCTTAGTGCAACTTTAGCACGTTTATCCCAGTTTGTTGTCGACATGATTTCTTTCCCAGTTTTGAAGTTGAACATCCCTGGACTGAGTGTCTCACCAGGAGGAGTATACTCCATCACATAAAAATGGCCACAAGATCCGTAAATCTCGGGGAAATGTTTGTTTCCTTGAAAATACTGCATCATCAGGTATTCATCCTGCTGTAACAGTGACCACAGGCTCTCCTTTGTTACTAAATTCATGGTCTCTTCTTTCTCCCACGGCATCTGCCACATTTTTCGGACAGTTTCCACCTCAGTGATATCTGTTGTACCCACCTCAAACAGTGTTTGTAGCTGATGTTTCGCCATCATCAGAAAAGTTGCCATATCTGGTTGAGAAGTGACCGTTCTACCTTCATCATTTGTGTATTCAGACACAATTGAGTTGTACTCTTGTAGGCGGTCGTATTTTGACTTCAGAATGACCTTCTTTGTGTTCCACTCTACGAGCATGACCTTCTTCCCCTTCCTGTAGTTGAGACATTTCCTATAGAGTATTGAACGTGTGGTGCAGAGATCTGGGCAAAGGTTTCCTGTAATCTTGTTCTGTGTGTACTCTCCACACTGTACCATGGAAAACAAAAACTCAAAGAGTGATCTTAATATATATAACGTTACTTGTCATTTCTTACGAGCTGTCATATATAGTACTAGTATTAGTCACAATCATCACATTCTGGGAGAACATATCATTAACGTTAGATATAATTTGTTATTATGATATACCGTAAAAACATTATAGTTTAGTTTGTCAGCACTACATTCCAAAGTGCCCACTATCCACATTTTTATCTTATTACCCCTATTCATACTAAAACTAGAACTTTAACAACTAACGTTACAACACTTATCGAAAACTTCGTACCTCATACGTCCAAAGGTGCCCCCCTCCCCCTTCCACTATATACCACAGTATTACCAACATAATACATCTAGATACGGCGCCGTACCAGTTTCCTGAGCGTTTCTCTCGACTCCTGGTCCGTGCATCTGTGTGCCTTGACCTTCCTTCCCACAAACAGAACTGCGACAACGATAAGAACCAAGAGTACAGCGAGTACACACTTGCAAACACTCTTGCACAGTCTCTTCCGGGTTCGAGACCCCGCCATATGGGCTCTCGATTCTCGAGACCACTGCGTCAGTCTAAGGGCATAAAAATCATCAACAGCAGATCTAACAGGTGAAACGAACGTTATGCTGCACACAGGAACATCGAGAACGTTGCTTTGTATCGTTTCTGAGATGAAAATCGCAGCAGCTACAGTCTAAAACTTTCCCGTCAAACTTAGCCCAACATTAATAGACTGCACTATTTGATCAAAGAGGGGAATCTTGCTGACATTTAAGTTATTTTTTAAATAGCACACTTGCGTTAGAGCACAAAATAAATACCAAAGTAATAAGTAATAAAAGAAGTACCAAACCATGTCTAATTGTTCCCTTTTGATATCATTGTTCAGTATTGAAATTAAACTTCGAACGTCACCCCTTTCTTACATGTGGTATGTCCAAGGTAGCTAGACATAGCGCGGTATTCATTCACATAAGTCGAATGTTGGTGACATGCTAAATATTCAAAGAACGTTTAGGAAAGTTTTCAGTATCGTTCAAAGAAGACGTTTCAACCAAATATATATAAAAACGTAACATATTAATTGTCGTAACGTTATGTATTTATCATATTCACGGGCCATACTGATTCAATTACATGGATGGCATCCCCAGAGCCCCAAAAACTGACGCGAGCGTGCGAAATTTTTTTTAAAGTTTGGAAAAAAATTGCCTTCATCATCATTCAAGTCTGGTCATGAAGGTTGGTTGTCAATGAACAAATGACAACCATATACACTCAGAGTATGATATGGGGAATAATAGACTCTTCATTTTCATCCTGCAAGGGGGGGTCTCGCTCTACGCTGAATTCGGAAACTTCTCGATTACGCTTTACGATAAATTCCAAAGTGGCTACAACGCATTACGTAGAATTAAAACGCCGAATACGCTCTACGCAAAAATATTAGAGCGGTCCGTCTACGCTCTACGTAGAATCAACACGGCCGATTACGCTCTACGGTAAAGGGCTTCCGGGCCCCATTTCATGTCTTCACATTTTCTTTGTGTCCTTTGGAATTGATTTTGGCATTCTACGACATACGTGTCGTTTTCCAGTGGCTTTTGCGGCTTTTGCATTTTGCAGCTGCTTTGTACGATTTACAGTATGGTGAAAATATATAGCAAAGATACTGTTTAAACCTGTCGTCAGATAGAGACTTAAGACTAGATATAAAGTCTTAGACTGTGTCGGACGCGATCCAAAAAGCCATGCTCCAAGAAGGACAAAGACATGAAGTAACCATACGATTGCAATATATTATTATGTTTACCGAAGGAAAACATATTGTTTTTGCTCAGTTTCGTCTTCCTCCTCTTCTTCTTCTTCTCCAAACGGTGACCTTTGACCTGAACCAATGCTGTGTCTGTTGCTGTGGTAACTGGTGTTGTATTACATCATGTTGCAATTTTATAGCACGAGGGATTTAGACTCCCGCCTGACCATATATATGAATGTGTTTGAGTAAGAATAAACAGAGCAGACCACATGTGAAGGTAAACATTAATATGCATTTGCCTTGCAAATGTTACCTTTCTAGTGTACAGTTAATTATTTGTCGCATGCACATGGTAACCCTCCTTTGTTATATGTCCGACGCATTGTCAAGCTTCTGTTTAGTATTCATGAGACGTCGCTGTTTTTCCATTCATCACAGCTGCCGTCTCTTCGGCGGAACTCCATTCTTAATTGTATTTATGTGAAATCTGAATCTTCAAAGAAGGCTGTACAACACCCGTAGGCATATTCGTGTACAGCACATCAGGGTACATTATTTTTACTCTACTACTAGGGGTCTGCATGGGGGGATCCCGACAACGCTTAATGGTAAAACTATAAGGATGGACAAGGCTTGACGGTGCATAGGCTGGACGGCAACGATCAACGGTAAATGAAGTAGGTGTCCCTGTGCTTAAAGGCTTTGGTAACGACGTCTTATAATTGTTATTTTGTACATGTATCTGACGTTCAACTTAAGTTTACTATTTTTCATACTATTTTTTTCAAATTATGCTTAATGATTATTGAGGAGAAAAAAAATGCTACATGAAACTAGAAAGCAAATGTGTCATATTTACCTTCACATGGCCAAAATTAACAAACTACTGCTTATTCTTACTCCAAGACAATCATATATATGGGGACCATCCAAAAAAAATATATATATGGGGACTATCCAGCCCCTCTTGAGTTCTACATGGCACTTGCAACATGATGTAACCCAAGAGCAGTTACCTTGGTAACAGACATCTGGTCCTGGTCATTAACCTCATTTGTTTGTAGAAGAGGAAGAGGAAGAAAGTGAGCAGAAACAGTATGTGCCCCTTCAGTAAACATAATTAAATGGGCCACTTATAAGCTTACGGAAGAATTTCTCAACAACGCTTGACGTTCAATTAAAACAGCCGGCTACAATTAATGGTGCAATCAAAACAGCTCGCTATGCCTCACGGAAAACGACATGTAGACCCTCTACTAGTGTTCACAGTATGCTCCCTCCTCCCGGTCGGCAAAAGACATTCAGACCCTACAGAAGATACATCCTACAGCACGGAAGGTACAAGACGGTGAGCAATCGGTATTTTTTTATTTACACGTGTGTTGCAATTAAACGAACATAAGAGTATAGCAAAACAAGGTGGTACAGAAGGTTTAAAAAAGAATTGTATTAAACTGATAAACACGACATATAGTTCAGAGAGGCTTCCAGATCTGTACAGATTCCGCCATCTTTTATTAGCTCATCAAACGAGAGATCGGTAAGCATATGTGCGATCCAAAAACAGTATTGGAAGTAAGACCCAGTGACACAAAGTGTTTATTTACAAGAGGCTCTTGGATGCTTACATTATCTGAAGAAATAGTCCCTTTTTATATACATGTACTGTCGCTTAACCACAGACATAGTAAAAAATCACGTTTGTAGACGTTAGAAAATTCGGACCAAGAAAAGCGAAAATGACGAATGCATGAAAAAAAATTAATCACTTTTTGGTATCTCTTTTCAGCACCAAGGACATTCACCATTGGCGCAGTGCTACATTACATTGATCTCTTATCACACAGCGATTGGGTCATTAATGTAGCGTTTCCCTATTGTTCATAGCAACAATAAACTCCAAACCCCATGCGGCTGCAAATTTGAGTACGCTATAAACTTTTGACGGTAGATTTGTTGTTGATACAAAATACAAACTTATTTGATTGTTTATCTTTTTTAAACATCCCTTCTACCCTTGTATCAAACGTTTGACAAATTCTTATTGTTAGTTTTAACGGTATTTTCAATTTCCAGTTGTGATCTGCATCAGTTGCTGGAAGCGCTGAAACGCTGTTTTAGCTGGTTTCTAGGGTTTTTTTAGCGTATCCGTAGTGTCCATGATGTTCCTGACTCTTTCACTACAAATCTGGAGGCTCCACTCGAGGCGTTGTATCTATGTCTCGGAATGCCAAAATCCATTCCAAAGGGACAAGAAGAAAATGTGAAGGAATGAAAATGAAGAGTCTATTCTTCACCATGCCAATGAAATTTGTTCAACCTTCATGACCACCTAGATTTTACAATGAAGACAAACGTTTTTTTGCCAAACTTTTATTTATTCCCACGCTCGCATCAGTTTTGGGGTTCCCATAGGATGTCATCCATATAATCAAATCAACTTGGCCTAATGATATGCCAATTGCAATGTTGTTAGAAAGCAATGTACTTTCTAGAAAATTAATCCAGTTAATATGTTTTACAGGAAAAACGTATTACTAAGCACCGTTCTGAAAGATCTGCACACCATACAGCATTTCAACCTAGGCACTGAAGTCGGGAGCAGGCAGTGATTGTGTCATCATGTTCCCATTTTTCATCGGTGATTATGGAGTTGAAGGAAACGTACGTGTGAGTAGATTGAAACAGTACAGTACAGTTAAGTAATTTTGAATGCTGATGATAAATGTAAATGACAGAACAATTTAGTGCCCGATTCAGGGCACTGCGAGTCTGCACATACGCTTATTATTATTATTATTATTATTATTATTATTATTATTATTATTATTATTATTATTATTATTAGTAGTAGTAGTAGTAGTAGTAGTAGTAGTAGTAGTAGTAGTAGTAGTAGTAGTAGTAGTAGTAGTAGTAGTAGTAGTAGTAGTAGTAGTAGTAGTAGTAGTACTATTA